ACCACTGAGACTATGGCCCCTAGCTGCCCTTCAGGTCTGGAATTGAACCCACAACTGTGGTTTCCAGCCAAACAAAGTACAGGCATGTGAGTTAAACACTTACCTCAAGTAGACACATGCCCTGGAGAGAACAATCATGGGAGAAGGAAGGGCTGCTTATGCATAGGGAGATAGCTCAGGGTGCAGAAGATTATGAAGGGATGGACACTGGGAGGAGGTAACTATGGGGAGGAAGTGGGAGGGGAGCTGCTTCATTGTAAATTTTGTTCAATGACATGAGACAAAGTATATGTGAACTGCTGTATGAAAAGTGAATTTACTCTGTAAATCTTCACCCAAATCCTAATAAAAAAAAAAAAAAAAAAACACTCAGGGAACTTGGCAGGTTTGGGTTTCAGTGGCTCCCAGTCTGTTGACACTCAGGGTTACAAGTTTGTCCTTCTGTTCCATGTACGCCACACTGCATGGATTGGACAGCACCACATACTTCTGTTCCATGTACACACACTGCACGGATTGGACACCACCACATACTTCTGTTCCATGTACGCACACTGCATGGATTGGAGACCCCCACATACTTATGTTCCATGTACGCACACTGCACGGATTGGACACCCCCGTGTACTGCCTTGTGCTAATTGATGAATTCACTTTTGTGCAGTTATGCAGCCCTCTTGTCCTGTCTGCCTGAAGGCTGTCCCACAACCGCATGACAAGCTGTTAAAGCCAGTTGCTGTGTGCAGCCCCTCATTCACATGCATCAGGACTTTCCTTGGGAATGTGCCAGCAGGAGAGAACTCAGCAGGTATCGAGCTGCACCTGGCATCCCCAACTCCCACAGTCAGATCTTCAAGTTCATTCCTACAGCTTGAGTGTTTTGAATGATGTTGTTGTTTGGTGTTACCAAGTTGGTTCCGACCCATACCAGCCTCGTGTGCAGTGTAAGGTAACACTGCCTGGTCCTGCAACGTCCTGACAACTGTTGCCATGCCTGAGCCCATTGTCACAGCCAGGGGGTCAGTCTCTCTCACGGAGGGCCTTCCCCTTCTTCTGTGACCCCCCACTGTACCAAGCATGATATCCTTCTGCAGGGAGGTCCCTCCTGACAACATGAGCTGGGTATGAGAGACGAGGTCTGGCCATTCTGACTCCCAAGGAGCCTTCCAGCTGAATGACAGACTTCCTAATAAGGATCTGTTATAAATGGAGCTAAGGTCAAAGTGAAGTACGCTACTACCCTCCTTTGTGTGGGAATTCCATGTAAGATTTCACTTGAAACAAAGTGTGTTGCTAAGAACGTACGGAAGTTACTGGAGGACGAAAAGGGCACAGATTTGAGAGACAGATGGGACCAGACTTGAGCCCTGGCTGCCAGTAGTTACTAACTGTGTGTGGCCTGGGGTGGGGTAATTTCATCTCCAAGCTGTGGTTTTTCTCATCCATAAAATGGGCCTGCTCTACATAGGCAGCAATTTTTCTGTGTGTTTTAAGATGATAGATAAATGTCCAAATGAGCCTCACACGGTGCCTGACGTGTAATTATGTTGTCAATAAATAGTAGCTGATAATATGCAGGTAGTTTGATATCTCCAGTCCCTGTCTGTCAGTGTGTTGCACTGTGGTGGCTTACATGTTGCTGTGATGGGGGATGCTATGGGACCAGTGTTTCAGATCCCAGCGGGGTCACCCATGGAGACAGGTTCAGCAGAGCTTCCAGTCTAAGACGATGGGGGAGGCCTGGTGACCTACTTCTGAATCACAGCAGAGCCCTGTCCAGTGTAGCCCTGAACAGTGAGCCCCCTGGGCTGGAGGGCCCTCACAATACCCAGGGGCCGTGACAGTGGACTCACAGCAATGACCGTGAAGATGGTGCAGGGTGGGCAGCGTTTCCCGAGGTGGCCGTGTGCAGGCACAGTGCCACCTCACAACAACCACAGAGCAGCCTGGCATCTAACACTGCCTGTCATGCTAGGAATTAAAGTCACTGTATTTAATGCCTGGTCATTAGGAACTATTTCTTTATACTGTGGAAATACACGTATTTTTGTATTTGCTTATTTACTTATATGGTGAACATAGCATATGTGTACCCTGGTACATAGATTTTCTATAAGTTAGGGACATTTTAGCAGACCAGAGTGGCACATTCTTTTTCTGATGCGTTGCCCCGTCTTCCTTCCGTGGAGTGGCTGGGGGGTTTGAACTGTCAACCTTCTGGTTAGCAGTCAAATGCCTTAGGCACTGTGCCACCAAAGCAACTTTCTGATGCATGTATGTGTCAAATTAAATTAATTTCATTTTGAAAGTATGTGGTGTGTCAGCAGAAACTTTCTTGTATTTTAGTTTCTTCTGGTAGGAAAAAAGGAACTGAGTCGCCGGTGGGAACCGTTTTGATGCACCGGGACTCCCAAATGCTGCTTTATTTTTATGGACAAACTCTTTGTGGGTGGACTACAGAAATCTCGGCTCTTGGAAGTGTTTTTGAGCCCCCGGGAAAATGAATGGGGAGAAAAGAGCTAATTGAAAAAGCTGCCATCCGCCTCCTCTAATTAACTTGCTCTCTGCTCGTGGGAGGGGGCGTGGGAATAGGAAAACAAGGTAGGCAGGGCCGGAAGTGAATGCCACGCTGACGATGCATGCTGGCCCCCGGGGCTTTGACCCCGAAATGGTTTACAGTAAACGGGGGGAACTACAAAGGGGAAAGGGGCTCGCTCTGCCTCCACAAACGCACGGCCGATGGTGAATGGTGGTCCTTCTCTGAGCAGGTGTCTGGGCTGTGCAGCTGCCACCTCGGAGCCTCATTGGAATTCAGCGGCTCAAATCCGAGTGCATCCGGCCCTCCCTGCCACTTGCCTGTGCTGTTGGGACAAAGCAGAGCCCTTTGTGCTCCAAAGCCATGCATCACCAGTGCCCAGGGATGCAGAAGGCACAGCCTCGCCCTCCACATCTCTGCTGGAGCGGGGCAGCCTCCCAACCTGCGGACCCCGGAGAACTCACAGCACTGCGGCCTGGTGATGCAGTGAACTTTTTTTGTGGCATCAAAGGAGACATAGATCCCAGAGACACTAGCAAGGGAATCTGGGTAGGAATTTGGGGGACGGAGGCTGCACTTCAGTGGAGATGGCTTTTGGCTCCTGGCAGATGTGGTCTCCGGTGGAGTGGGCCCGGTGGGTGTGGACAGCCGTGACCAGCGGTGGTGACTCCAGCCTCCTAGTCCTTGAAGGCAGCACTGGAAAGAGGCAAGTTGGCTTTGTGTGTGTTGTCACCATTATCGCCGATGCGTGCACGGCTGGGAGCTGGGCGAGGGGACTGGGTTCTCAGGGTGGAGCCCAGGGCTCAGCGGTGATCAGAACTGTCGCTCCTCTTGGATGTTCAGTTGTGTAACCACCTGGTGTTTTTCATGCTGATGAACAGATTCTGCAAAACTTTGGGTCCCTACATCTGTTGTTGTAGGGTGGATCTTGAAGTCTCCCCACAGACAAAAGCCAAGTCCTTTAATGTTACTGTGTGTGTGTGAAGCGTCAGTCTCTCCCCTGGTGCTGTTGTATGAATTAGGAGTTGTGAAATTTCCTAGTGCATAGCAGCTCTGGTGTCCCTGTTCGTCTCTTGGGGTCCCTGGTGGGCTTGGTGTCTGTCTGGAGGGGCCGTGTCCTTGGGGAGGAGGGTTACTGGCACTGATGAAGTGAGTCACCAATAATGAGTTCTAGAAGCACTGATGTTGGCTTTCTGGAGGGGAAGTCAACCAGTGAGTGGCTCTGTCTGTGGGTTCTGGCTGACTGTGAGCGACTAGTGGTCTCTAGAAGATGGGGACGTTCGCTGAGATCCCTGCCCCTTTGGGTCTTGCACTTCACACAGTGGGGCTGTGAGGCTCAGTGACACTGCTCCCCTCCCCCGTCACATTCATGTCCCTGCTGGGACCATTTGTGCTAATCATTGCTCATAAGTCCCCACCCTCTTGACCATGAACTTCCTCATTTGAACTGTTGAGATAGGGATCAGCCCCGGCTGCTGTGCCCCTCTGGCTGTCCTCAGAGGTGGGTCAAGCCCCGGGCTGCAGACGCCTGGGAGTAGGAGTAAACTCGGAGAGGGGTGGCGCTGGGTGAGCTCAGTGGCCTGTTGGGAGCAGGACATACTCAGCAGCCTCTTTCCTTCTGGCACGAAACAGTCGCCAACAAAAGCAGGCAGCTGAGAAGGGCTGCTGGCCGTCTGCTTTGGATGTTCTTTAGCAAGGCTAGAGGTTGACCAGGTGGCCTCCCCTTGGTGGTGGGTGAAGCTACCTTGGGTGGGTTTTGGTCCAGTTCTTGAACGCAGGCTTTCCTGCCGACCACCAAGGCCATCCTCACACTGCTGGGCTCGGTGGGCTGTCTGTGTCTGTGGTCAGGCGCGTTCTGGGCTGGCGGACTGGCCGGCTTTTGTGTTTATCTTCTCGTTAGCAGTCGTTCATTCAACGGGCTGGGGATTCTGGGATCCCTCCTGGCTCTGAGTTCAGTAGACAGAAAGATAATCAACATGATGAAAAGGGAAGCAACACTAATAACAAATCGAGTCATGGATGTGTGCCACGAGAGGGTGCAGGAGAACGATGGGGTGGGGAGGGGAGCACCCAAGGGGAGTCATGCCACCGGGAGGGGTCAGTGCTATCCGGGTCGGGCCCATGGCAGCAGAGTGGGGTGGGAACTCACAGAGTGCCTCTCCGACAGCTTGACTGTTGATGGCCAGTCGAGGTGCCAGAGTTCCCAGAGCTTCTGCTGGGCTTGTATCAGCCACTAAGGCAAGTGGTGTGTGATCAAGGGGAGCTGAGTTCAAGTAAGTGTCACTTGGGCACCAGTGAAGTTGGTGGTGCTGACTCACTCTTGGGACTCATTTGAGCATTGAGCCACCCTCCCTAGCCCTGGGGCTCAGAGGCCACACAGCACCCGGCAGGGTGGGCCCACAGGCCCTCTGAAGAAATAGGCGCTGGGCCACTCTAACCTGGCTCTCTCCCTTTCTCTCCCTCAGGAGTTCTGACTCTGAAGAAGCATTCGAGACCCCAGAGTCGACGACCCCTGTCAAAGCTCCCCCAGCTCCACCTCCGCCTCCCCCTGAAGTTGTCCCTGAACCCGAAGTCAGTGTCCAGCCACCCCCGGAAGAACCAGGTAACCAAGGGTTGGCACTCCCTGGGGGAGGCCCCGGACCCTGTGTGTGGCTGTGAGCCCAGGGAAGAGTTCCAGGCAGTCCTGGGGGTGGGGGTGGGGGTGGGGGTGTGCCTGGAGCCTGGAGCCAGCAGGCATGCCCGGAGCACAGCCCCCAGTCACAGAAGTACCCTGTCGCTTCTAGAGAATGCCCGCCACTTCATTTCTTTGGTCTTGTCTTTCTTCCTTCCGTCTGGCTTCCTCTTCAATAAAGCAAAAGATCAGTCTCTGTTCTTGTGTGCACCTGCACACACGCACATACATGCCTGTGCACACACATGCAAATATATACAGATGCACACATGTACACACGCACATATACACACACACACAGAACCTGCCTCTTTCTGGGTGGCAGTTTCTAAACCAAAAGTGTACCTCAAGGACCCAGAGCAGGGGCTGGAGAGGTTAATTGTCACTGTGTAATGTTTCCAGGGAACCTTTGATTACATGGGTTGGGGTCTTTGAACAGGGACTTTCTGTTCTGCAAACCACAGCAAGCATACATTTGTGTGGCTTGTACAATAAGCTTGGAAGTGCGTCTGCTTCAAGCCCTGGCTTGGGCTGCGCAGGGATCTGTTTGATTGGCTGTCATTGTTAGAAAACTGCCTGCCGGAAGCAGCAGGCGAGCTTGCGAGCTTGGGGCGTCATGGCAGCAGAGTATTGAGCATTCGTGGCTGGAGGGCGGGGCAGGTCTGTGCTGGGGACTGCGGGAGCAGAGGCGAGAGGGGAGGGGGCTGCTGTGCGTCTGCAAGATACCGTCCTTCTCCAAAGGCCTGAGAGAACCACCTGAAGAATCTGCATGCTTTGCCTGGGAATACTGACATGGGTTCTAGAAAAACCTACAGAATCCTCTGTCATTGTGCCGTTAGCCGGGGCAGCGGGTTTGCACTCTGTGGGCTGGGAGGATTTGCCCCTCATTCTGGGAGGTGGGCGGGGTTTACAGAGGAAGGAAGGAGATTCAGCTTATCCAAGCCTAGTTTTCTTACCCCTAAAATGAAGAGGCTGGCCTGTGAGTCTCAGAGCTCCCTCCTGCTCCAGCCTTCGACAGCCCTACAAATGGGATGCTTGGCTGTGATTATAGCGACCATGTTACTTGAGCTCATGTAGGGACCAAGATGCCCCAGCACCAGGAGGCGAGGGCCCTTCACAGCCCAAGCAGGGGTAGAGGCAGGTGGGAGGCTGTGGGCTGTGGGCTCTGGGGTAGATGCTCGCACATGGCACCTGACTTAGCTCTGCTGGAATGGCCATTTTACAGACGAGCCATTGATGTTCAGACAGACCAAATTACCCACCCGGGGTTGCATAGTACATTGAGGGTTGAGACTTCCACAAACATTTGCGCTCTGCTTGGCTGGGCTGCCCCCTCAATCTACCGTGAATGTCCTGTGAACCACTGATACAGGGGAAGGCCAGGCCACATCACCAGGGAGTGACACCCATGATGGACGTCTTGGGATCTGCCCGTGCATGGCTGCAGTGCCTCCCGTCATAAGCACACTGCTCACAGCCCTTGCTCTGTCCCATGCTGCCCCACCGCCTGCCCAGTGCCAAGCACAGCCCTTCTGTTGACTCTGGCCTGTGTCTGGTATGTGCTCTGGCCAGGGCCGGCCACATCGTAACTGCCAGGACCTGTTGCTGGGGAAGGACAGCTGCTGGAGGTTCGCCTCTGGGCAGGAGGCCTTGGAGATGTCTGGACGCATGCTTAGCTGTCACAAGCGGGGGGCTAGGGGTACCACTGGCATCCAGCTGGTAGAGCCCAGCCGAACATCCTACAGTGCACAGGACAGCCCCCCGCAACAAAGAGCCAACACCCGAAATGTCAGCAGTGCTGAGGTTCAGAAGCCCTGCCGTAAGACTGGATGTCCCAGCCCACGATGATTTCATTAGGGAATGTTGGTTCTAGACAGGAGAGCCAAGTTAAGCAGGCAGGGAGCGTTTTCTTCGGGGAAAATGAGGAGCAGATGGTTAAGCAGAATATCTGCTGATTGTTGCATGATTCGGGGAGAACTACTGACATTTGAAGGGCTCTGGAGCTTCCTACCTCAGGCTGCTGAGATGCCTGTGGCAGCCTGAGAGAGGGGCCAGCGGTGAGTTGGGGGTCTTGCTTCAGAAATGCGGACATGAGTGGGCTGGAGGCTTTGACAAACCTTTGGAGGCCCTGGTCCTCGTCAGTGTCCGTGGTTCCCTGTGCCCTCTGGGTCCTGGGGTATTAGAGGGCAGGAAGATGAGGCCTCTACTCTGGAGGACAGGGCAGCTAATGGTTCTAGGCCCTGAGTGTTGATTTCAGACAGGAGGAGGGAGGGACCTCATCTTTTGAGATGGGAAGGAAGTAGGAGTGTTTGGGAGATGTGGCGAAATCACTGGGGAAGGAAGCGGAGCTCAGAGGCTTCAGACAGATGCGCCATCTTGTGGGATGGCTGCTGCACGTCGGGGCTGGGTGAGCGGGGCGGAGGAGCAGAGGCGAAGGTGGGAAACCATCCCTGGCTGGCGGACGTGCTCCCGGAACGTGCTCTCAGCTCGAGGCGTTTCTGGCGCCTCCACCACAAAGTGTGGCAGGGGGAGGGGGAGAAGACTTAAGTAAGACACGTGCCTGAACTCAGGAGCCCTGGGGCCTCCCTGCATTGCAGTCTCCCAGAGCATCCGTTGTTCAGCCGGGGCCTCTGCAAAATACCGCCAAGAGGCAGCTTGGCTTGGTGAGCAAAGTGTGGTAAGCACAGCCCCAAACACTCATCTCCAGGAAGTTCATGCTCCCACTGCCGTTGGGTCGATTCCACTTGATGGCGACCCTAGAGGACAGAGTAGAACTGCCCCCACAGGGTCTCCAAGGCTGTTGTCTTTATGGAAGCTGACTGCCACATCTTTGTTTTGCAGAGCAGCTGGTGAGTTTGAACCACTGATCTTTTTGGATGGCAGCCTAGTGCTTTAACTGCTGTGCCACTGGGCTCCTAATTGTAATGGGGGACATACGTACATGAAACTATTCACTGATCTGAAATTCAAATTTCATGGTCTTCCTGTATTCACCTGGTCATGTGCTGGGTGGTGGTTGAGGGTCTAACACCTGTGAGTGACACACACAGGAAGTGCTGTCCCGAGTCATGTGCGGGCCAGCTTCTTTTATCCCCTGTTCTGCATCCTTCCAGTTTTTCATCCTACAGGCTAGTTTACAGAAGTCTTCTTTGGGGACACATCTTTCCTTTTCTGGTAAATTACTTCTCTGCCTCCTTGACTGCCCAGAACAGCTGTGAGCCCAGAAATGCATGAGAGGAGCCACCTGGTATAAGCAGAGCCGAAAGTAGTCACGCCCAGGCCCAAGGGGAGGTTCCCACTGAGCAGTGGGGTCAGGAGGTCACTGAGCATCATTTGGCCAACGGGTGGAGCAGCGTGGTGGAAAATAAGGATCAGCCTTCTTGGCTGACGGTGGCTGAGGAGGTGGGAAGGCTGCGAGGCAGGGGAGAGAGGATCAAACATAGACAACAAGGAAAGACCAGTAGCAGAGTGTGGCAGGAGGCATGGGCGGGAGCAGTTTCAGGGGACGGTGGGCTCTAGACACGTGGAGGTCAGCTGACCATGCACATTCAGCCCTCCTGCTGCAGCTGCCCTGGGGGCCTTCACGTGGAGGTCCCTGTGTTCTTGAGTGTCTGTGTCCTCAAGAACAGGCCTGACAAAGCCAATAAACCAAAGAAAACCAGCCCCCTTGCCATTGAGTTGATTCCGACTCGTTGAGATCCCATGTCTTACAGAGGATGCTCCTCAGGCCTTCATTGTCTGTGCCTTCCTTCCCTGGAGCCGCTGGGTGGATTTGAACTGCCAGCCTTTTGGTTACCAGCCAGTGGCAAACTGCACCACCCAGGGAACTCGATGACAGTACCTCATCTTAACTGAGGGCTTGCTGTGGGCGAGGCACTTCCTCGTGTGTTTCTGTCTTCTTCTCTGCATTCTCCCTTTCTCCAGCTACCCTGGCCTCTTTGCTGCTCCTGGAAAACACAGGTGTGCTCCTGCCCCAGGGCCTTTGCACCTGCTGCTCCTAGGATGCTTCTTCCCTCCAGACACCTTCCTGGTGTCCCCCTTCCGGTCTCTGGTCTGATGTCTCCTCCTCGAAGGCCTTGCCCAACTACCATATTTTAAACTTGCAACTCTCCTGCCCCACTTTATGTTTCTCTGTAGCACTTCTCACTGTCTGACCATCTTTACATTTACTTACCTGCTTTTTGACTGTTCTCTTCCTGAAGAATGTAACTTCCAAGAGGGCAAGGATCCTGGGCTTTTGATTTGTTCATTGCTAAATCCCCAGCACCTAGCAGAGTGCCTGGTCCTGGTTAGGCACTTGGCAAGTGTTTGTTGAATGACTGAATGATCTGAGCTAGTTCTTCCGTAGCTCTTATTATTGTTGTTATGTGCCGTGGAGTTGGCCCCGACTCTTAGCGACCCCTCCTTCGGTTTCCGAGGCGGTATCACTACAGAAGTAGGATTGCTCAACCTTCCTTCCGAGGAGTGGCTGATGGGTTTGAACCGCCAGCCTCCTGGTTAGCAGTCAAGTGCCTTAGGCACTATGGTACCAGAGCTCCACAGCCCTTAGCACTCCCATTTTGCAGACGAGGGAAGTGAGGGTAAACCTGTCCATGTCTGGAGCTGACAGTGAGTAGGACCAGGCTTGGTCCCAAAGCAGTGTCCAAGGGTGGGTGGGTTGGCCCAGGGGTGCAGTTTATCACTCTCTGCTCTAGATGTGGCAGTCTGACAGAAGATGAAAAATGCTCCAAAGTGTCCTGGGTCCTTAGTGACTATTTTGTCTCTGTTTCTTCAGGATGTGGCCCTGAGACGGTCCCCATCCCCGATGGCCCTCGCAGTGAGCCGGTGGAAGGACACCCTTTCCGTCCCCCGTCACACTCCTTCTCTGCTGTCTTTGATGAAGACAAGCCGATTGCCAGCAGTGGCACCTACAACTTAGACTTTGACAACATCGAGCTGGTGGACAGTTTCCAGACCCTGGAGCCTCGCTGCTCAGACTCGAAGGATCAGGAATGCCAAGTGAGCACACGGAGGAAGTCCACAGATTCCGTCCCCGTCTCCAAGTCGACGCTGTCCCGCTCGCTCAGCCTGCAAGCTGGCGACTTTGACGGTGCTTCCTGCTCAGGCGGTCCCGAGGCGGCGGCCCCCGCCCTGGACGCACACAGCACGGGCTCAAGCAGTGCTTCCAGTACCCTTAAACGAACTAAAAAGCCAAGGCCGCCTTCCTTAAAAAAGAAACAGACCACCAAGAAACCCACAGAGACCCCCCCGGTGAAGGAGACACAACAGGAGCCGGACGAAGAGAGCCCTGCCCCTAGGGAGGAGAATCCAGCGTCTGACACGAGCACAGAGCCAGCCAAGGTGGAAGGTTCTAGAACAGCCTTACTGGAGGAGACAGCCCTTGAACCTGCTGCTGTGCCCAAAACTGCCTGCCCCCTGGACTCAGAAAGTGCAGAGGTGGCCATCCCACAAGCTTCAGGAGGCGGAAGAGTGCAGAACTCACCCCCGGTCGGAAGGAAAGTGTTGCCTCCTGCCACAGCCCCGGAGGCCGTGGAGGTGACCCCATCAGACGGTGGGGGGCAGGAGGACGGCCCGGCCAAAGGGCTGTCAGTGAGGCTAGAGTTTGACTATTCTGAGGACAAGGGTAGTTGGGACAACGAGCAGGAAACCCCGCCTCCTACCAAAAAGATAGGCAAAAAGCCAGTCGCCAAAATGCCCCTAAGGAGGCCAAAGATGAAAAAAGCACCTGAGAAACTCGACAACACTCCTGCCTCACCTACCAGGTCCCCCGCTGAACCCAATGACATCCCCATTGCTAAAGGTACCTACACCTTTGATATTGACAAGTGGGATGACCCCAATTTTAACCCTTTTTCTTCCACCTCAAAAATGCAGGAATCTCCCAAACTGCCCCAGCAATCCTACAACTTTGACCCTGACGCCTGTGATGACTCCATTGACCCCTTTAAGACATCCTCTAAGACCCCTAGCTCACCTTCTAAATCCCCAGCCTCCTTTGAGATCCCAGCCAGTGCCATGGACGCCAATGGAGTGGATGGCGATGGGCTTAACAAGCCCGCCAAGAAGAAGAAGACACCCCTCAAGACGTAAGTTCAAGGGTGGAGTTGGTGAAGGTTGGAGGCGGGTGTGTGCTGGCTGTGGCTCTCGGTCACGTACCTGGACCAGCTGCAGCTGCCCTCAGCCCCCCGCCCCCCCGTTTGCTGTCACGCCCTCTTGTTTGTGGCCACTTCACTGGCAGCCAGGATAGCTGCTTTCCTCCCTCTCCTTGTCACAGTGGTGGCAGGTCTGTCAGCATGTCCCTTGGTAATCCAGAGCCCTTGGTCTTTTGCCTTAGTGAGTCACTTAAGGAGTCAGTGGTCCAAAGCTTTACTTTTGTCCAAAGACCTGACGTTCAGCTCTGGGGAATCTGAAAGATCCTGAAGGAGGAGAATAGTCTGTTCAAGACCTGAGCAACCTCCCTGTTGGTGACTTAGCCTTTTCCCTGTTTGACAAGTGAGTTGCATTTTGGAGTGGCCTAGAACCCTGAGATATGCCCTTTAACATATTACATGTTACGGCATTTCCCTCCGTCTGTCAATGAGATGTTAGCCCAGGAGGCCCATGAATGAGGGCCTGGCCCGGACCCCTCCCTGCACACCAGCCATCCCATCAGAAATGGTCCTCTTTGTCTCCTCTCTTAGCATCTTTAGCAGACCAGAGTCCAAAGTCCCATAGGTTTAGAAGAGATTGATGGAAATGAACGGGGCATGGCAGTCCCCAGGAGGAACTGTAGCCATAAAACTCTGCTGCCCACAAACACTTAAGGGGCCAGCAAGATTGCCCTTCAGCATACGTTGTCCATGCTTCCAGAAACCATTCCAAGACTCCGTTCGGGCTTGGAGGGCTGCAAGTCCATTCTAAGGACTCTAGACCAAGCTCGGAGACCTCTTCCTTGCTCTCCTTCAGAATATCTTCAGTAAGTTCACAAGGCTGGAGAGACCTGGCTCCTGGTGGTAAGCTGACCAAGCAGCCCCAGCCACTGGCCCCTCTGCATTTGCCTGGCACGAGTAGGAGGACCTGTTTGCCCCCCATTCTGGGCCGCCCCAAGCATTTAGCATTTGGGAAGAAGGAGGACTTCCTTAGAATAGCAGGATTCCGCCGTGGATCTGGCTGCCGCTGGCTGGTACTGGAAGGGAGGTGGTCCTGGCAAAAAACTGTGAATGTCAGGCCCTTCTTAGAGACACCCTAGAATCTGCTCTGGAAGCTTTATTCTAAGCTCAAATGGAAGGCTGAAGTGCCTAGCCTTCAAAACCATGTGCTATCATTTTAAAGGTGCACTGGTGGCACAATGGTTAAGAGCTCAGCTACTAACTAAAGGTTGGTGGTTCTAACCCACCCAGCAGCTTTGTGGGAGAAAGACCAGGTGATCTGCTCCCATAAAGATGATAGTCTAGGAAGCCCTATGGGGCAGTTCTACTCTGTCCCATGGAGCCGCCATGAATCAGAATTAACTCGACACACCCAACGACAAGAGCAGCATTTTAAAGGGGAAAGGCAGTGGCAGCCCCTGCCTCCTCCTGCCCACAGCCAGTGTGTGCTCTGACCCCAGCCATGTTTGTGTTTTACCATTGAGCTAACAAAGGTCAGGGAGGCAAATCCCTTTTGCACTCCTACCTCAAGTGCAGATAGGGGTCTTGGCTGGGAAGATCCTACACAGGTGACAGAGCTCCTTGGGGAACCGATGCTTTACGGGGTATTTGGAGCTGCGAGAGGAAACCGGCTCAGGCAGCCCGTGCCCCCGAGCTGGGCTGCTACCCACACTCCCCTACGGAGTCCACAGGGACAGCTTTTGTACCCTAACCTGTTAATGATAGTTGTCTGCAGGTGTATCTTTTTTGTCAGTTCCTTCTGTCTGTCTCTCTTTTTCTTTGTCTTCTTGTCGTAGGATGGTTGAAGATGTGATGTCTGTGTGTTCTCTGTTGTAAGTACACTTAATGGAATCTGCTGTTGACACCAAATGTGCTTTGTCCTGCCTTTTCTTTTCACTCCCATGGCTGCTACTTCCATGTGTCTGTGCCTGGGCTGGGAGGGATGGGGCTGGGGCTTCACGGGAGCAGAGGTGGCTTTTCTGTCTCCTAGTGATTAGCATCAGTGAAACTGCTTGGCTGTGAAAACGTGATTAGCCAACATCTGTCTGCTTGTCAGGAATGCAACATTTTTTGCCCTTGCATATTGGGTGTATTCATCTGAAACCCATATATATGTGTGTATATGTGTGTGTGTATACATATATATATGTATATATATATATATATGTATGTATATATGTATATATATATATAATTATTATTTTTTTAACTGCTCATTCCATTCTTTTGTTGTAAATTGGACTAGCAGGTGATTGCTTTCAGTAGTAGCGTGGCTTCACATTAAATGTCCCATCCAGTCTGACCACAGGCAGTGACCACTGTGGCTTGTTCTTGCTAGTGTGTAAAGCAGGAATGTTTTGGCCATTCCAAATTGTGACCTGCCCGTCAAGTCCCCTGGAATACAGAGTCCTTTCAGCGTTATGTGTATTGTTGGAGGTGGAGCCCGCAACTGTGGGAGCCATTGCCAGGCTTCTTTGAGCCTGCGTCCTTGTCCCCAGGGCCAGGCTGAGTGTCGGCATGCCTCACCTGCCATCTGTGTGTTGCTTGCGGGCATCAGTGAAATAGCGCTCTGGGCCTCCCCTGGCCAAGAAGGGTCCCATGGGCAGCACCCAGGGCCACCACCATCTCTGCACCCCTGCCCTTACCAGGGAAGCTGGCCTGCTCCCAGGTGGCTGGCAAGCTCAGGGTTGCGTTAAATCTCTCTGGCTCGCTTCAGCCCAAGGAATTTTTTTTAATAGCATTTTAGAGACATTTAGTAACTACAAATGTACAGTTAGTTGTTTATACACATGGATAATAAATATGTGCTCCTAGCTGTGATTGCACTGCTTTTGTGGAGAATACCATAAGTGCTATAAATAATCATTTCTAGTATTTTTCTCATAACTAAATGCCATCTTATTGGAGAGAACACAAGGAAGGAACTTGTGTTGCCCTGTCATCCAGTTAACGTGTAAAGCAGTCAGGGGGTAGTGAGGCCTAAGGTGAGGAAACACACCCCCCAAAGCCCTTTCTTGCTGGGGTGGGACTTACTGCAGAGGGCAGGGTCTGGTGCGGCAGCCAGTCTTCATGGGGGACGAGTTCTCCATTCTGACTGGAGATGGTTCCCTGACTCCCTGATGGACTCACCCGAACCAGACACACTAAGAGTTGTCCCCTCCTCCATGGCCCCTTCAGGAGTCTGACCTCATGCCTCCTTTGCCTGTCCCCCACCCCTACCCCTAGTGTTTGTATGAGAGAGAAAGAAAGGGAGAGCAGGGTCTTGAACCTTGTCTGTTGACCCTGGTTGGGAAAAGACATGGAAAAATGGCCTTGTTGCCGCCTTGCCTTTGCTCAGAACCCCACCTGGAAGCTCAGAGGTACTGGGCCCAAGTCGGCTCAGAGTTCCCACAAGTGAGAAGATCGCTTAGAACTTTCTTTCTCTGCCAGGGCCCCCTCGGTGGGGTCGTTAACTGCTGGGCCTGCTTGCCCATCTGTGAACTGGATACTGCAAATTGGTGCCGTGAGCTTAGGGACCCCCCACCCCCTAACTTGAATTGTTCCAGACATTCCTTGACGAATCCAGATAAATGAATCCACTCACCAGAAATTTGCTTTTTAAAGCAAGAACATCTGGTTAAATTTAGCTTCATTTTCTGGGTCAGTTCTCCAAAATGGTATCTCTTTCAAGGTTTCCAGCTTGATTCATCTTTCCCTTGGGAGTAAAAATAATATCAGTTAGCAAGTCAGACTTCCTTGTGGGCGCCTTTTTGTGGGGGCTGGGATGGGGTCGGCTCGAGGGCGGCCTGAGCCAGAGGGGCCGGCGGCAGCCACGTTTCCCTGGCTCAGTGTTGCGTTGAGTTCTCTGTAATTGTGTTTGTTGTGTTTACATTTTCCATTTTGTTTCCAGTGACACATTTAGGGTGAAAAGGTCGCCAAAACGGTCTCCTCTCTCTGATCCACCTTCTCAGGTATCACGCTTCTTTGATCTTTATGAGTGTGTCGCGGTCCCGGGAAGAAATCTGAGATTGATGTGCTGTGTCTTGGTCCCTGCTAGCACAGCAGGCTTCCCTGCTCATCCCAGGCACATTTCTGACCCTTTGCTCACCTGCCGTGGGGGTTCCCTCTGCTTTTGCAGGCATTGTACTGGTCCCTTCACTTTGGGGAAGAGCAGAGTGTGTCCCCAGAGTAGGCAGAAGGTCAGGAAAAATGCTAGTTGATGTTACAGGAACTGTTCTGGTCCACTCTGGCGAGTTAATCTGCTGAGAACTTACATGAGTATCCACTTGGAAAGTGCACTGCCACAAGTCACGCGCGGTGAGGAAATGAGAGGGAGAGATGTGGAGGCAGAGTTAGGGCTGAATGTGTGCAAGCAGAATGGAAGCAGGGAGACGGGCAAACGTATCCCCTGCAGAAGCAGCAGCTGGGCTCGTTTTTAGTGTATGGCTCCGTCTCCCTCTTAGAAGGAGCTCCAGTGGTGCTGTGGTTGAGCCATTGGGCTGCCAACCAAAAAGTCAGCAGTTCGGATCCAGCAGGAGAAAGATGAGGCAGTCTGCCTCCATAAAGACTGACAGCCTTGGAAACCCTGTGGGGCAGTTCTACTCTGTCCTCAAGGGGCGCTGTGAGTCGGAATCCACTCCATGGCAGTGGGTAGGTCTCCCTCTTACTGTTGCTCTGCCAGATCTATGCCATTATTCAGCCCTGTTTACAGACCAGGGAGAGTCGCCCTCCAGAATGTTTGCCAGGCCACTCCGGGCTATGTATGTGTCATACAACAACATACAACAAGCAAGCCTCTTTCTTCCCTGACTCCAGTGAAGCCCGGAGCGTAGCCTGGCCAGGCAGGGGCTGTAGGGGCTGCCCTGTGCTAGGACTAGTGGGCTTGGGGTGTAATCCCAGGTCTACCTGCTCACTGCTGGGCTCCCACCCTGCCTCTCTCAGCTCCACACCCTCCTGGGGAAATGGAGAAAAGTCCCCTTTCTCGCCCTTCCAGGCCAGGGGCTGCCGGGTGGTCCTGATGGTATTGACATGTAAGCCCTGAAGCTCAGTCAAAGCAGACACGGTGGTGGTAGGAATGAAAGCACTTCCTTCTTTTTCTCAAGGTGAATGAGCAGGAACATCTCAAATAATCAAGACACAAAATCCTGATTTTCTTAGACCCCCACAGTCACCCCTGAAAGGAACCATCAGAAAAGGGAATTTGTAGAGGAAGGAATTGGTTCCCTTGAGGGACCTTTGGGAACAGAGGCTGAGAAGGTGAATGTGTATTGAGCAGGATCCCTCCAGGCTGATGGGCCCTGGACTCTGGGGTGGGTGGGTTTTTGACGGGGAGTTGAATGAAAGGAGAGCCTGCTTCCTTTTTCCAGGACCCTACTCCAGCAGGGACACCAGAAAGCCCACCGGTGATCTCGGCGGTGGTACACGCAACTGATGAGGAGAAGCTGGCGGTCACCAGCCAAAAGTGGGCCTGCATGACCGTGGACCTGGAGGCTGACAAGCAGGACTACCCGCAACCCTCAGACCTGTCCACCTTCGTCAACGAGACCAAGTTCAGTTCACCCACAGAGGGTAAGCAACTTGGTGGCCAGCTGGAACCCCAAGCTTCCCTGGAGGACACTGCCCCTAGGGAGCAAAAGGCCAGGAGAGACGCCCCTAAGCCAGGTAAACATGCTCTCGGCTCCTGTCTCCCAATGCATGGGAGCTAACTAAGGCTGCATTTTAAACCAACCTGAGACTTGAACCCAAGGCCCTGCTAACAGCCCAGCACGGCACCCTCTCACGGCAGGGCTTGGCGGTGTTCCTCACCTGTGCCTCTTCTTGGCTGTATGGCTTTTGTCCCTTAACGTTTTTGAAAAACACAGCTCCAAGTCAGACTTTCAAAGTAAGTCAGGCTACCTGGGGGTCTCTTGGTGGCCCCGTTGTTCACAGGCCTCAGAGAGCGATCAGACAGTGTGTTCAGCCCTCCTGTCCAGCCCCAAAGCAGAGGCTCATCCTAGGCTTGGGAACAAGGCTGTGATGCTTCAGGCATGGGCCTCCGGCCTTAGTTAGCTCATTCCCTTCCCGTTCCCTGCTATGTTGATCCACGTTCTGCCTGGTTCTCTGGTTTGAAATTCCCACACATTTTAAGCCAGCTCAGAACAAATAGGTGAATCGGGATTTTTCAACAGCTGCTTACTCCCTGTGAGTTTCTGAGTCGGTCTTGTCATCCGTGTTTCCTTTCCTGTTTGGGAAGCAGTTAGGAGGGCGTCTGGAGCATTTCTTACGAGGGTTTGGCCCCTTGCCTGCCATCCACAGCTCTGTGATCCCATCCACGCACTGCCTTCCTCCGCCCACCACCTGTGTGGCCCTGTGGGGCTGTCTGGAGCCATTCATTCCAGCACTCTGGGCTTTTATGATGGTTTTAAATTTGCCTTCCAAGATCTTAATTTACATCAGTTCTTAAAAGTTCAGTAGAAATCAGTATGTGGAAGAGCATAGGAGAAAGCCTAATCTTCACTTCTGTGCTCCTTTGAAGGACCCCAGGTCTCTGCTGAGCAGCCTCGCTGTCCCTCTGTGGCGGGGCTGGTGTGACTGGGGGCAGGGCACATTAGTTGTGACTCGGAAGGCTTCCTCTCCCCGCAGCCCTGTGACCAGGCCTCTCTTGGCGTTGGCTTTGTGTGTCACGAGATCTCTCGAGAGCGCCGTGTATGTTTATGGTGAGACCTGGTACGTGTTTCTGGCATTGTGACGCTTATCTCCTTACTACACAAAGCTGCCTTCCTATTACCTGACTGTGAAGAGATGATCCAAGTTATGTATGCATAGATTTTTGGCATCTTGTTTTCAGCCAAGTGGAGCCTTTTGGTTGGCTGTCAAACTGGCCCTCAGCCTTGGGGTTGGGGAGGTATAACAGTGCCCATCTCATGCACACCTGACACTGGGGGCCCGGAGACCTGGCCTCACTCTCCCTGCAACCCCCATTTTCCTTGGCACCTGTACCTGAACCATGTGCCTCAACCAAGTGGAATCCTGCCCTTGTCCTCAGGGTCACCTGGCACCTGGCTGCCTCTGCAGTGGCTGCTGCTGGCCCCACGCTAGCATGGCCTCCTCCTCCCGTCACCCACTTGCCTCTGTCAGTCCTGTGCCCTCCCAGCCTTTCCCTGGCTGTCCTCCCACTGCCCTGGCTGCCCTAAGCTTGGTATGGGTTGCCCTAAGGGCACTTCCCACCCTGGGCATGATGTGTATGCACTTCTGGCTACGCCACTGGACTGCGTGCACTTCTAGAAACTAGACTGCGTGCACTTTGGAATACCCCACTGGGCTGTGTGCACTTGTCGATTCCCTGCTACCAGGCTGTGTGCACTTGTCGATTCCCTGCTACCAGGCTGTGTGCACTTTGGAATACCTCACTGGGCTGTGTGCACTTGTCGATTCCCTGCTACCAGGCTGTGTGCACTTGTCGATTCCCCACTGGGCTGTGTGCACTTGTTGATTCCCTGGTACCAGGCTGTGTGCAGTTCTAGGTTCCCTACTGGGCTGTGCACTTCTAGAAACCCTGCCGGACTGCGTGTACTTCCCGGTTCTCTACTGGAACTATGTCAGATCCATCATGTTTTCTCCATGGCATCCTGAACATTGCTGTTAGGAACCGTCAAGTTGACGTCTATTTATAGTGACCCATGTGATAGAACAGCACTTCCCAGGGGTTTCGAGGCTGTAATCTTTATAGGGGCAGATCCCCAGGTCTTTTCTCCTACAGAGAGACTGTCTGTTGGCTTTGAACTGCCTGTTTTCCACTTGGCAGCTGAGCCCTTAACCGCTGCTTTCCCTGAGCTTAATAGGAGTAAAGAAAGGTTTGGGAGATGGACAAGATTCAAGGCCAGGCAGGTAAACAGCTTCGTGTCAGCTTGGTCAACATGCCAGGCTTTCCTGAGCCTTGCCTTTTGTGTGATGTTGAGGGAGATGTTTTGCATAACAACAACAACAATACCCCAGAAACAGCAAGGGACACTGAGCCAGAGCCATGAGCATGGCCCATTAGTGCCTATGGTTTCCTTCTGGTTCACATTTTTCATGGCTTGAGAAGCAACATGTAGATGTCAGAATGTTGTTGTTCTTGTTATGTACCATCAAGTCGTATTCGACTCATAGCGACCCCTTCTTGGGTTTCTGAGGCGGTATCACTACGGAAGTAGATTGCCCAACCTTCTAGAAACCAGCCTGGGCTTGGTGTTGATGGAGAGTCAAAAGGCCTGTGATTTTAGGAGGCC